ATTTTGTAGCCTTTTAGCTGATAGACCCTGACTTAGAAGAAGCCCTAATAGTTCTTTGTACACTATCTACTGTTTACCGCCAGACAGTAATTAATAAAGTGTACCTGAACTCCTATACCAAAAAAAAAATAATAAAAGCCTGTCTAGGCAAGCGTTGGGGTGCTCTCCCCTTGAGAGAGTGGCCAGGCCATTCCGAGGTTCTCTCCTCTTGGTGGAGTTGCTGTGCCATCCCTTTTCCTCCACAGGACTCAGTAGTCCATGTGAATTTGTCCTGATTTTCCATCCATAATGCCTCTGGCACTGCAGGCTAGTGCACGCATCATACATACGATTAGAACCAGCCTAAATTGACAACGATGTAGGAGCACTTAGACTAGTTATGGCATGATATGGTAGGCTAGAATACTAAGAAGCCATAAAAATGATGATACAGAGATATACTTATCAATGTGGAAGATATGTACATAAATCAACCCAAAAAGCAGATCATAAAAGTGTGTAAGAAAGACCTGAGTGTTACAAATATTTGAGTGACTAGACATAGAAAAATACCCAGAAAAATATATACCAATCATGGGTTAATGGATGATTTTTTTATCATGTTATTCTATTCCAGGTTCCCTCACACAAATATTTAGAGTAGACAGGCAGATGGGTGGCTGGATAAGAAACACTTGGGTTGGACGGTCCCTTTGATTTCATAACAAGTCCATTTGGGTTGGCTACCATCTTAGAAGGGCCTAACGGTGAGAATTTTCTATGCCCTCAGTAAACAAAGTAGTCTTTTTTTGCCTGTAAAGATGTTCAGTAGCATTATTATTCCACAGAACACTGGGAAATATGTTTGCTTGCTTTATTTTAAAGAAAACCTAATAAAAATATTGGAGGTATATGAGTCAAGTTAAATAATAAGAATATTTGGTCCTCCACCCAACCCTAATGGACACAGTAAAAACAAAAACAAAAAAAAGGGCTCTAATCAGTAATGCAAGCCATCCATATTCTCCATTGCTGGTTTTGTTGTCTCATGTGTCAAATGGGGCTGAATCACACCTGGGCCCGGCTCCTTCACTTTCTTGTCTCCTGATTATACCCCACAGGAGAAGTGCTATACAAATAAGTTTCAGGGAAGAACAATTATTGGAACATAAATGGTACTAGGTAAATAGTTTCTCTGGCATTCCATTTTTCTGGAAGTCTCTTCGTGGCTACTCTTGCTTGAAAACAACTACACCCTGAGAATTGGGGGAGGCCAATTAGACCAGTTCTAGACTTCAAAGAGAAACTTACTTTTGCTTTCCTTGGAATTCTTTTCCTGGCAAACATCTTTCCTTGTCATCAGTGAAGTGAGCAAAAGCAGGACAAGGAAAAGGGTGTGTGCTCTGGTGTGGCTGCCCCGCACCTCTGGGCAGAGGGAGTTCTTCACACATTCTAGTCTTACTCATCTGGTATGTGGGACATACTCCTTGTAGTAATGAAGAGTGTTCATTTGCCCACATCTGTCCTCATCTTTATTCATTCTGCGCCAAATAACAGACTTACAGGTACTTTTATGCACCTATCTTTACATTATGTAGGAAATAAAAAGTGATGCTATAAGCAAAAATGTTCTGTAGCAATGTTTATAACATCCATAAAACAGTTATGTTCCATTTCCACCCCAAGTGGGTATATTGTAATTGAATTCTGACACTACCCAGAGTTAACACAGACCTCACAGGTTAAGGGCAAGTTCCTCCTAAAGACTGCGCCTGTTTTAGATACCAGCCATAAGTCTCCGGGTCTACATACATTTCTGATTGACTGGCTGTAAGTTCAGGAATTCCCACTATCCCTTCAGATTTGATCATTTATTAGAACAACTCACAGAATCCACTGAAAGTGCGACAGTTTCTGTTACAGATTTAAAATAAAGAATGCAGATCAGAACAGCTAAATGAAGAGAGGGAAAAGATTTGAGGGAGCAGGGAGAGGATACAGAGCTCCTATGCCTTTTTTTTTTGTAGAATCTGGGCACACTACCAACCCATGAACCTGTGTACCACCCGGGAAGCCTCTGTGTCCAAAGATTTTACTGAGATTGCATTATGTAGGCATAATTCATTAAACCAAGTGAACTCAATCTCCAGCCCCCTCCCCTTCCTGGAGGTTGCACTGCTCCACATTTCCAACCGTCTAATCATGAGGTCCATCTTTCTGGTGACCACCTCCCCAAATTCTGAAACATTCTAGGGATCCACAAAGACTTGCCTCATTAGCATAACAAAACATGCCTATCACTCAGGAAATTCCAAGGGTTTTTGAAGTCCCAGGCTAGGAGCAAGGGACAAAGACAACGTATAGTCTCTATTATATCACACAATAAAATTCAATTTTATATTTGCCCATGTAGTTACTTTTACTGCCTGGAAATCTTTATTTCCAGGCAGTAAAATATATTTTCAGGGTAGAATAAACAGGATTGTTTTATGGATTAGATGTGTGTTTGTGAGAAATAGAGGAGACAAGGAAGATTCTACAAGTTGGGAGCTCAAATAACAGAGAAAGAAATTGCATTACTGAGATAGAGAACATGGGAAGAGCAAGCTTTGGATGGGGAGAATATCAGAAGCTCACACCTGGACATAATACATTTGGGATGCCTTTAGACAGACAAGTGGAAAGAGGGAGTAGTGTGTTAGAAATCTAGAATCTTAGGCCTAGAATTCAGGAGGGGAATCTAAAAAGAGCTATAAATCTTGGAGTAGTAAACATGGAGATGATGAAGAAGACTGAGGAGTGGCCAGAAAGTTAGGGAGAATATCAGGAGCTGTGGTATCCTGGATGCTATGTCATGATGAGTGCTTCAGGGTAGAAGGCATGATCAACTATACTGAATGCAGCCAATAGGTCAAGTAAGCCAAGAACAAGGAATTGACACATTATGTGTTTTTTTAAATATTTTATTTATTTATTTTCAGAGAGAGGGGAAGGGAAAGAGAGAGGGAGAGAAATATCAATGTGTGGTTGCCTCTCGTGTGTCCCCCAGAACAGGCCTGCAACCCAGGTATGCGCCCTGACTGGGAATCGAACCACAATCATCTGGTTTGCAGGCCTGTGCTCAATCCACTGAGCTACACCAGCCAGGGCACATTATTTGTTTTTGAACTGAGTTAATTCAACCACATTTGAAGAATCTCTTTGCTATTCCCACCCAATTTCTATGTTCTTCATGAAATGTTGAGGAACACTAAGTGAAAATTCCTGTGTGCTTTTCCTCTCAGGGCCTTGGGGGAGTTGTGCAGCATAATAAATCCGCAGGGCTGACTCTGAATTCTCCTCCGTACTCCCGCACGGGCCGGCCCCCTTCCTTCATTCCCATTTGGGGAAAGCAATCGACAAAGACAGCACTGAGAGCTTATGTATTGTTATAGGTACAATAGCTTGTCAACAATCAAGTTAACATTCCCCCTATTGACTCTTCAAGATAGCAGTTTTTTAATAAAAATGGTACTATCTCAAATTGTTAATTTTGTAAGAGAAGCCTTTCTTTTATTGATTTTGTCATGTCATCTGCCTCAGTTACATTTCAGAGGAAGAAAGACTAAATTATAAAACTCTCTCCAGCCTTGTGTACGCATAAAAATATAGTTTAAAAAACATCTCTCCCATCTTATGGCAATGTGTATTCATTTGACATTATCTATTGGTTGTTCTGAAAGCTAAATTTAAGGCAACGACGCATGTAAAGTGCCCAGCAAGGTTTCTGAACACGATGGAAGCTCACTTTATGTCACTTCCTTTCCCTTTTTCCCTTGTGAAATTTACAATCCTCATTCATAAAGTGGGAGCAAGAATTTTTGTTTTAAGAACACTCACACAAAAATGAATTTAATGTAAAAATAAACATAAGGCAATCTATTCAACTCCATTAGCAATGAAGGAGTGGAAATTATAACATTATTACACAAATGAGACTTAGTGATCTAAACACTAAATTCTCAGACCCTGCAGCTGGCTTTCCCCACTAACGGAACACTGGGCATTGACTCGTCCAGCACAAGATGAAAGAGTGCTCTCTACAGAATCTAACTAATCCCCCCCACTCCAAAAAAAAAGCCCTAAAAATGCCAACGTGGAGCCAACCATAGCACCCTACATAACAGCTCAGATGTCAAAACTACCAATCAGTTATTTAGAACCCCCCACTCTTACGTAAGAGCAGACAACCAAGTATAACCAGATATTTGAGAAAAGCTTTTTAACGTGAGTGACAGAGACCAAAACAAAGAGAAAAAAATAGCACCTTGGAGGAAGAATGAACTACGCTGAGGAAATTAGATAAGATACACCAGCTGCTAAAACAAACCCATATAGAATAATGGCTGTGTACAGGATAAGGCCCAAAACGGGAGTTCCTGATAAATAGGCTCCCCACCAAATAGTGATTAAAAGATCCAGGCTCCTTCCACCTTTTGAAAACTTGCAACTTGCATTCTTTTTCACGAGTCCCCTAAATTATATAACATTCATGGGAACAAAACCTGAACCTATCCATTTATATCTAGAAAAGGAATAAAAAAGAAAAATAAGATAATTATTAATTACCAAGTTGTTTAAGAAAAGGAACAGTAATCATAGTACACCATAGAGCTCAGTCTTGACTCTCATCTCCAAGTAGCGTGCACATATTAATAAAAATAATGTAAGCACTGAGTACTTATCAACAAAGCCACACGTAACTCTACTGGGAACATAGGCGATGGGATGCGAACATGTACATGGGAGAGGGGAAAGCTAACGTTTCAACTTGCAAAATGCGCAGTCCCTGGATGATACCTAAAATTTAAGGACGACAAGACACCGACGTGGTGAAACCCCGCGCTCCCAGCCGGGCCTAAGACAAACCAGGCCCCGGACCGCTCTTCTCACGGCGGACAGTCTCGCCCACGTCTCGGCTGTCTCGCGAGAGATCCTCCCCGCCGTGGGTACGGCCACGCAGCCTCCAGGAGCGCGTGAGCGCGTCTCACTGGTCTCCCGCGGTCGCGGTGCCCCGGGAGCACTCCAGGTCGCCCCTCGAAAGCTCAGGGCAGCGGTGCTGTCGCTCCCGGTTCCCGGCGACCCCACGGGTCACCGCTGGGTGGCGTCTGAGGAGCCGGGCGTCACGTCGGTAAGCAGGCGCACCCGCCCACCTTTCCGCCCTGCAGGGCCCGGGTGCCTCAGGGGTCCACAGCGGGGCTTGGGGGGTGGGGACTCTCGAGTGGCGGGCGCACGCCGCGGGCCACGCTTCGACAGGTGTGTTTGGGTGTTAGGTCGGGCCTTTTGATTTTTCTCAAGGGAACTGCATGGACGGGTGCAGAAACTTTGCTAAGCCCCTGGATGCAAATGAGACAAGTTTGAGGCAGCACAGGCTTTTACAGCCTTGCCTGGGCCACTGCTTCCCCGAAGGCCTTCGCGAGCCAATGGGGGACGGTGGCTGGACGAGTGGCCCCCCAGTGAGAAAGCCTTCCCTAGCAATCCTGGACAGTGCCTCGGGGTGCTGGACCGTCTCGGCGTTGAGGGGTCCCATGGGAGGGCGGGTGGGTGAGTGGGGCAGAGGGCTTTTCCCTCTCTCCAGGGACAAGTGAACTGGGATGCACCCCTCTAGAGCTGACATTAGCCAGCACTGAAATTCATCCAAGGACTTGTACTCAGTTCCTTGACTTTGGTTTGATTCCTGCTGGTGTCTTCTGGTTACCCTCATACCTGGTAGTGTAACATATTAAACTTGAGGATATTTTTTGTTTTAAACATTATTCGAGCTAGTAAAGGAGAACTTGGAGGCTGTGGAAAGGTGAATAGAAATTTTCGGTACCAATTTTTTTCTAAGACATCAGACCTTGAAGCAGAGATATGATGTATTCCAAGAACTACCTCCTGCCCAAAATATTCCTGAGACTTCTTCAACATAAATCAGTCATATTGGGCCAGGTCTAGTTGTAGAACATCGGAGCAGCTGGGGGTGAGAACTTCTTCACTGGTTCACAGCCAACTTGGGAACAATGGTCCTCTGAAAAACAAAAACCAAATTTTATAGCTTTTTAAAAAGTGCTGCCTTTGGGGGGTTAGCATAAGAGGAGAGAGAAATATTTCCCCTCTATTGCAAAGAGATCCAAGGAATCTTCTTGATGGAAAGAGACACAGATCTTTTAACAATAATAAGAAGGGAATAATTTTACCAGAAAGTCTAAACCAAGGCTAAGACAAGATCCTGAAAACTTCATGTAAAACTGTTTCCTGGTTCTCGCTTTCCACTACAAACAAGTGTACTTGTTCAACAGCAGAAACATGTTTTTCCCGTCATTTTTAAGGTCTCTGTATTATGAGCATTGAACGGTGTAAGGGGTAGTTTTTTATTTTGTCTTCTAGAAAAGCACAAAGTCATTCTTCATATGACCACTTATTTTAGCATAACGCTAAATTGCAAGTCTGCAATTGTGATTAGTGTAAGGCTAACAAGTTTATTCCAATGCTGTAGTTTTGTCCTGGCCTGGCCTGATGAAGGGACAAAGCTTTATAAATATGTGTTTACTTATTTGCCTTTCCAAACTCTAAGCCTGTGTGAATTGGGGCCTGCCTTCATTTAGAACATCATGCAAAGTAGTTGAGCAATAAATATAGAAGAAATGAAGAAAATAAGGAAGATACATCATTCCCTAGACTACTCTTCTACATATCAGTAGTCACAACCAGGATTTTTTCTTGTCCTTTTTTAAAAAGATTTTATAAATTTACTTTTAGACAGAGGAGAAGAGAGGGAAAAAGAGAGGGAGAGAAACATCAGTGTGTGGTTGCTTGTCATGCACCCCCTACTGGGGACCTGGCTTACAACCCAGGCATGTGCCCTGACTGGGAATGGAACCAGTAGTCTTTTGGTTCACAAGCCAGTGCTCAATCCACTGAGCCACACCAGCCAGGACACAACCAGGATTTTTAATGGAAGCTATGGGATAGATGAAAGTCCATTTGGAATAGACTCTGGTAAGCACTAGAAGTGGGAGGCTGAGGAGGCCACCATGTACTCCAAAGCTAGGTAGAAGTGAGGCTTGTTCAAAGGTCTAACAAGTGGAGACGTTGATTTGTATTCTGACCTACTGACTTACAAAATTACCTGATAACAAAGCTGGGACTTATTCTTTTTTTCTTTTGTTCTTATTTTTCTGTTACAGTTGTCCCAGTCCCCCCCCCTTTACCCTCTTCTGCCCAACCCACCCCACAGTCCCACAGTCAGTCCCCACACCATTGTTCATATCCACTGGTCATTCATACATATTCTTTGACTAGTCCCTTTCCATTCTTTCCACCATTATTTGCTCTGACTGCTGTCAATCTGTCCAGTATTTCTGTATCACTGCTTATACCTTGCTGGTTGGTATATTTTGTTCATTAAATTCCTCTTATAAGGAAGATCATATGGTATTTGTCTTTCACTGACTGACTTATTTCACTTAGCATAACATTCTATTCCATCCATGCTGTCATAAAAGGTAGGAATTCCTTCTTTCCTTCTGCTGCTTAGTATTCTGTTATGTAAATGTATCACAGTTGTGTGATCCGCTTATCTACTGATGGGCACTTAGGCTGTCTCCAGTACTTGGCTAATATAAATGATGCTTTTATGAACATTGGGGTACATAGGTTCTTTTGAATTGGTGTTTCAGCATTCTTAGGGTATAATCCTCAGCAGTGGGATTACTGGCCTTGTAAAAAGAGTTTGGGAGTCTTCCTTCTTCTTTAATTTTCTGGAACATATTGAGAAGATTAGGAGTTCATTCCTCTTTGAATGTTTGGTAAAATGTATCTATGAAGCCATCCAGTCCAGGGATTTTGTATGTCTGGAGTTTTTTTTTATGACTGCTTCAATTTCACTAGTTATTTGTCTATTCAGCCTTTCTGCTTCTTCTTGATTCAGTTTTGGAAGATTGTATGTTTCTAGAAATGTACACATTTTGCTCAGATTATACAATTTCTTGGCATATAGTTCATAGTAATTTCTTACAATCCCTTGTATTTCTGTGGTATCACTTGTTACTTCTGTTCCATTTGTTTTCTTTATTTGGGTCCTCTCCCTCTTTTTCTTGATGAGTCTGGTTTAACGTTTTTCAATTTTGTTTATCTTTTCAAAGAACCAGCTCCTGGATTCATTAATCCTTTGAATTGTTTTTTTAGTTTCTATGTCATTTAACTCTGCTCTGATTTTGATTGTTTCCTTCCTTCTACTCGCTCTAGGCTTTGTTTGTTGTTCCTGTAGATGCAGGGTTAAGCTGTTAATTTGAAATGTTTCTATCTTTTTTTTAGGTAGGCCTGTATCTCTATGAACTTCCCTCTCAGGACTTCCTTTGCTGTGTCCCATAAGGTTTGGGTTGTTGTATGTTCATTTTCATTTGTTTCCAGGTACTTTTTCATTTCTTCCTTGATCATATTGTTAACCCATTCATTATTTAATAATGTGTTATTCAGTCGCCATGTATTTGAATGTTTTTTAGTTTTTCCCTTGAGGTTGGTTTCTAGTTTCAAGCCATTGTGGTCTGAGAAGATGCTTGATATGATTTCTATTTTCTTGATTTTGTCGAGGCTTGTTTTGTGTCCTACCATGTGGTCTGTCTTTGAAAATGATCCACATGCACTTGAAAAGACTGTATACTTTGCTTCTTTGAGGTGAAATGCTCTGTAAATATCAATTAAGTCCATTGATCTAGAGTGTCATTCAATGCCACAATATCCTTGTTGATTTTTTGTTTGGACGATCTGTCCATTGTTGACAGTGGGGTGTTAAAATCTCCTATGATGACTGTATTGCTGTCGATCTCCTTATTATAGTCCTCCAAGATTTTCCTTATATATTTAGGCATTCCTAGTTTGGGTGCATATACATTTACAAGGTTTATATCCTCTTATTGGACAACACCCTTAAATATTATATAGTGACTTTCTTTGTCTGTTGTTATGGACTTTGTTTTGAAGTCTATTTTGTCTGATGTAAGTATTGCTACCCCAAAAGCTGGGACTTTTCTTAGAAAATGATTCAGCAGCTTGGCTGAAACTGATCCATTTTTAACACTGAAATCCTCAAGTCCTGAGAAATGCTTCATCCCCATAAAATCAGAGTGACTGGTTGCCCCCAAAAAGTAAGCAAAGAATCCCTCAAGCACTCAGGCAGGTAACAAATCTCAAGTGATTTCTGCATCACAAAGCAAGTAAGATATTACTCTAGAGTAGGACATTTGGAGAACAGAAAATGCGTATTCTGCCATGAATGTATCTTTCAAATCAAAAGTTTAACTTTTAGCAGGAGTACATTCTGATATCCTGCCAGGGTATCAGCCGCAGAATTCACTTTGGGGTATCTACATTGAGATCACCTGTGGGTGAGAACTGTTTAAACATCTACATGCTAAAGAAAGTCTGCAAAAATCAAGTTGAATTTTGGCACAATTGATATTGCGCTGTATCACTATGTTTTCTTTTTAAAAATAGTGATTAACTATGAGAATTTATTCTTGAGGTTACCTCAGAAATTATCACTAGGTCATTAACTTGCCTTCCACTTTCTTTGAAGAGAGGACATTATTCAGTTTATCCAAGAGCAGAATCAAATTCTTTAGACGTAAGTTCAGTGGGGTGTGGGCTAGGACTCAGACCTGTTCTCACTATTTCATTGTTCTGTCCAGTGCCCATTCTCTTACTCTATGATCTCCATGGTGTGTTGGAAAAGACTCTGGGAAAAAACATGTAAGCCAAGGCTCCCCTGAGGGAGCCTACAGTCTGGCCCTTAGCGATTTTTTTCATCTCTCGAATCTGATACATGCTGGAAAGGCTTGTGTTCTCAGTTAAGCAAAACAGAGTACCACCTTCATGTTTCTGGAATAGTTATGTTATGGTGGGATTTGTATATGACATAGCATGCCCCTCTCCTGCATCTTCTGGAAGAAATTTGTTCTAACACATCTTCTTTTTTAATTGTCTAAATAACTCTAGGTTTGAAATGTGTAAGTAAATTCTGATGACCCAGCAAAATGATAGAACACAGCACAAATTACATAACAGGTCCCCAGACTTCCTTGGTAGGGTATTTCAGCCAGCACCTAAAGAGTTCACCTCTGAATAAACTTCCATACTTACCAGTA